CTTTGGGTGGCATACAGCAGGGGAGGGAAGTGGGGGGGACGTGGGGCTGAGGTTTGGAGGGGGTGGAAGCTGCAAACCCCCCCACGCGTGCAACCAGTCCAACCAGTTGCAGCTCCCAGCAAGCTGCAGGACGGGGGTGCACAGCCCTTTTAGTGGGAGTGGGGCGACGGGTGGTGCGAGCACAAACATCCCCCCACCCAAAACACCCCTGCGTGCCCCCCAGGACGGGCAGCCCCCCCTTTTCCCTGCTCTCCCCCTGCACCCCTTGCAGGCAACGCGTGCCCAAAACTCAGAGCAGAGCAGAGGGGCAGAGCGCAGCCCCCCACCCTCAGAGCAGGAGGAAACCCCCCCACAAACCCCAAAATTCTCCACATTTGGGTCGGTTCCTACCTCACCCAGGGCTGCGGGGGGGCCATGGGCCGCACGGTGCCCGCTGTTGCTGCAGCCCTAAGGCTGAGTCAACCCCAGCAGGGCAGGAACCTCCGCACCCGGCGGTGCCAAAGCTGGGAGTGGAGCCAGAGGTGCGCAGCGGACGGGACTGGGCTGAACTGGGCTGAACTGGGAGGCGTCAGGTGAACTGGGAGGGGAATTCACTGAGAGTGGTTGGAGGTGGTGATGGTGGCGGTGGGTGGGGGCCATTGCCAACACGATGGGGGGAGGAGAGAGTGGTGTGGGGAGGGCCCCCGCTGAGCCCCAGCTTTGGGTTGCGCTGGGGGGGACTGGGAGGACTGGGATGGGGGACTGGTGTGTGCCAGCCCACTCTGCCAGCTCAAACCTGGGGCACTTTGGGGCCTGGGGGAGGGGAAGGACCCCCATCGATGGGTGCACCCACAGCCCCTTGGCTCCCACCCCATGGCTCCCACCCCATTGCCCCCCCACCCCCTCAAATGCAGCCACCTGGCAGTGCTGCACCCCAGCCCCTCTCCTCACCCTGCGCCCCCACTTTCCATGTTGGGGGTGGGAGTGGGGGGAAGGGGGTGTGGGGGGGTGCAGAGTTCAGCCCCACCAGCAAAGGGGGGATTTATTTTTAGTGCTGTTTCTAAGGAAATGAGGCTTCAGCAGCGGTCTGTCTGTGTGTCTGTGTGTCTGTTTGTGTGCCGCCCTCCCCTTCCTCTCCCCGTGGGGAGCTCAGAGCTGTGCACACGTATCCCCCAGCCCCACAACACCCCCTTCCCTCCCCCCTCACTGCTTTTCCTGTGGGTACAGCAGAGATGCAGTGAGCACAGCCAGGTCTCTGGGGCTCAGCAGTCCCCGCTGCAGTGATGGATGCGTTGGGGTGATGAGTTTGCCAGGTCTCAAACCCGTGCTGGAGCTGAGCTCTGTTCACTGCAGTGGCCAGAGACAGGCCAGGCATCCAGCACAGGAGCATCCCCAGTGGGTGCTGGGCGTGGGATTCTGGGCTCTGGGTGCAGGATTCTGAGTTCTGAATATGGGATTCTGGGCTCTGGGTGTGGGATTCTGGGTTCTGGGTGTGGGATTCTGGGTTCTGGGTACAGGATTCTGAGCTCTGAGTATGGGATTCTGGATTCTGGGTGTGGGATTCTGGGTTCTGAGTATGGGATTCTGGGTTCTGGGTGTGGGATTCTGAGCTCTGAGTATGGGATTCTGGGTTCTGGGTGTGGGATTCTGGGTTCTGAGTATGGGATTCTGGGTTCTGGGTGTGGGATTCCGGGCTCTGGGCGCTGGCAGCCACCCCGCAGGCACCCAGAACAGGTTCTGCCTCATTTCTGCACCGGGTGTAGGGAGCGCATGGGCAGAGCTGAGCCAGGTTTTGGGAGCAGATCCCAACCCCACACCCACCCCACTGCCTCACATTCATCATTCAGGTCTCAGTTCTCCAAGGGGGAAACCGAGGCAGGGAGCACAGGGCAGCTCATGGGTGGGACACCTTGGGGACCCCCAGGAAGGGCTGGGGGGGCATGGAGGGAAACTGAGGCTTTTAAGGTGGCTGTGAAGGATGGGCACGCAGGGATGGAGCTGTGCACATCCAGGTGGGGGACTTCAGTGCATTTTTAGCTGCTGCTCTGCCCCTGAGCAGGGTCTGCTCCCCCCACATGGGGCCATCCCAGGTGGTTTGGGGGAGAAACAGGCTGAGCTGCAGGAGCATCCTCACAGCCCAGGGCAGTTCTGCAGCTCCGCAGCTTTTGGAGGCCTGGCATGAAAGCCCTGGCACAGCAGCTGGTTCTGCCTGCACTGCAGCAAAGCTTTCCTGCTCTGCAGCAATCGCCAGCCCTGCTGCTCCCAAACCCCCCTGCACCACAGGGCTGTGGCTGCTGCCACCAGCACGGGCAGCTCCATGGGATGGAGGGCGTTGTGCTCCCCAGTGCAGCTCCTCGTGGTGCCTTTGGGTCAGAGCTCAGCTCACCCAGGGGACAGCATTGCCTCTTCTGAAAGAGAAAAGCCTCGGCAACAAGAGAGGCACCTGGAGACATCCACAGAAGTTTATTTCCCCTACCATCAGGATTATGAAACCACAGAAGCAGAGTTGAAATATTTACAAAGTAATCCAGCGCCCCACAGAGATCAAGGGAACAAAGGAAGGGGAGATGGAGGGATGGCCCCCGCCAAAGAGCAGCAGCAAAGCCACGCAGCTCTGCAGTGGGGGGAAAGGAGGGGAGGGTAAAACTGTAAGGAAAGGGACAGAGCCAACCTTTGTGGCTGAGGGCTGGGGGCACAGTGAAGGAGCAGGCAGGGGGGATGCTGAAGGATGCACAGCCCTTGTCTGCTCGCCCCTCTGTCATCTCCCAGCCTTGGGGACACAGCAGTGGGTCTGCCTGCACTCACATGGCTTTATGTCACACCAGCAATGTGCTAAAGCAATAAAAGTGAGAGTCCAGCACCGTGCCCACATCCCGGCTTGCAGGCTGTGTTCTGTCCCTTCTCTTCCATGGCAAAGATGGCTCTGTGTGCTCGGTGAGGGCTGGGGCAGCTCTGTGGGACCTCTGCTTCATTTCAGCCCAACAGAAGGCAGGGCTCTGCTGCTGCTGCAGGGGAAGAGTCTCTGTTCAAAACTCAGATTTGGTACAAAAGCACTGGGAATGGCACTGGACATTGTCAGGGATCCCAGAGTGGGGACCCCAGCCTCCCCCAGCAGCTCCAAGCCTCAGCTTTGGCAATGCTCATACAGCTTATCTCTAACACATGGGGACACAGCCCTATGAGTCTCTAGGTTATTGCTACTGATAAGATGGGTTGGTTGGTTTCAGCCCCACGGCTCCTGGCACATCCTTGGAGGGTCTCAGACTTCCATTCAGAATTGGGGCACGTTGGGGCTCATTTCTCCCATCCACCTGGGGCACATCAGCTCACAGCCAGGCAGGGCAGCTCAGCAAGGCTCCACGTTTCCCTTGTCAGGTTCTCTCTGATGGAGATCTCGGCCCTGCAGCCTGCTCTGCACTGGGCAGGAGGTGACAGAGCACAGAGACAGCAACACCTCCGGGTGTGGGGATGTGGGGGTGGGCACTGAGGTCTGCACACCCCCAGCATGAGGTGATACAGACAGCTGGGGGGCATGGAGAAGGGAGGGGTGTGAGGAGACACTGAAACAGGACCATAGGAGAGGAGGAAATACAGAAATAGACACCCAAGGGGAGTCCCTGTGCAGCTGGGGAGTGCAGAGGTGGAAGCAGAGGGGAAGCACAGAGGGAGCCAGCAGGGACCTGGAAGGGGCTTTCACATCAGAGGAAGCCACAGGGATGGTGTGCAGACAAAAGAGCTCCCTCCTGGCCACAAGCACTCCTTGAGACTGAAATGCAGCAGGCAGTGGAGTACACAGCTGGCCTATCAGGACACATGTGGAAAAGCTAACCCTCCCTCAGCCATCAGAAAGGATCTGCCAATGGCACATCACCTCCAGTGACACTTTTACAGAAAGCAACCCCACAGAAAGCAGCACCTGCAGCCCAGCACCTCAGAGACCCCACATCCAAACCCACCTCCTGCTCAGCACTCCTATTCCCCAGCACCCATCCTGCCTGACCCAGGGCACAGGAGGGCCATCAGATCCCAGCACTGTGAGAACAGCATTCCTCACACCCAAGCCAGTCCTGTAAAGCCCTTTTACCCCAAGTGAGCTGTGCAAAATACACCACACCTCCTGTTCTCCACGTTGGACAGAGGAAAACCAGTGCCTTGCTTGCTGCTGCAAAGCCCCAGAAGAGCACGTCTGCCTTCCAGGCCCTCTGTCTCTCCTTAAACCTCCATCAGCCCCACAAAGCTCAGGTGCTGCTCTGGAGGCACGGATGCTACCACAGCCCTACACGAAGCCTTCTGTCCCAGCAGCACCCACCCACTGCCACCTCTGCAGGCAGGAATTCTGTGACATGCAAAGCATGGAGGCTCAAAGGAAAGTTAAGGAGCTCGTGAGAAGTGCAATGACAACTTCAGGCACTCAGAGCACCGGGAGAAGCAGGGAAGCTGTATTTTCTCTGGCAGAAGCTAAAAGGGATTTGGCAGCAGACTCCCAGCTCTGCAACGTGCTGCTGAAAGCGTGCAGACTGCTATGAGCTGTGCCCAAGCCAGTCCATCCACTTTCCTGCTTTTCTGGGCTCACCAGCAGGACCAGATGGATCTGCTCTGCCACAGAGCGATTCTCTGTGTTTCTCCTCAGAGGAGTGCTGAGCCACCAACACCTTGCTGTCACTGCTGGGGACTGTCAGCATGTGCTTGGCAATGTACAACCCCAGGAGGAGCCCCAAACCTCCACTCCAAAACGTGTGCTACAAGAGAGTCGTGCAAGAAGGACACAACCCCTCCTTGGGAGCTGGAAATCTAAGGAACATCTGATGAAGTGTGGCAGGAGGAAGGAAGAGGTGATGGGAGAGAACCCCAGGAGGTGTAACTACTGGTGTTCCTGAACCAGCAGGCGGGGTTTGCCTTGAGGCTCTGCCTGTGCTGAAAGCAAAGGTGCCCACACCTCTCTATTCCCAACTGCCAAATTGCAGAGGGAACAAATTCAGGGAGAAGTCAGGAGGCTTCGGGAGCCCGGCACTGAGACACAGCAGCGACAGAACAGAAACAGAAGGGTAAGAAGGCAGTTCCAGGAAACAAGGATGAGCTGTTACAGTGGAGTGGAATTGCAGCCTTCCCAGAGTATGCCTCCCGGAATGCTGTGCCTGTCTCACTGAGTCAAGCAGTCACAGTTCCCTCCTTCGTGTGCCCACGGGGTGAGGAGCTCACAGCTGTTATCACCGCAGGTGAAGCGTCAGAACGACCGTCAGGATCGCCCCCAAGAAGAGGACAAAGGGAAGCCAGGTCTTCACAAATCCCCCTATGCTGTAAGACAAAAAGAAAAGGAAAAAAGGAAAGGATTTAAAGTCAGCAGAGGAATACAGGAGGAACAAAAAGAAGCAATGATAAATGGAGAAATCAGAGGGATACAAGTGCTTTCCCTATCCACTGCTGCCACTGATGCAGATCATGTCCAAATTCCGATATGACATGGGGCCCACAAAGAACTGTATCATGAATCACAGGGCTGAGCTCTGCTTCCAGCACAGATCCCACTCACAGACTAGCACGTGTCACATCTATGCAGTCAAACAATGGAATGCCATTGCAGTCAGTTTCTCTGATCGGGCTGTTGGTGTATTTAGCTGGCACAGCAGGGACCACAGCTGGAATTGCTGTCTGAGAACAGGCTGGACCCAGCAGAAAGGAAGCAATGCCAAAATGTTATGCAGGGCAGCTCTCACAGAATCTCCTCTCCACGCCCAAGGAGTTGAAATGGAGACTAAGTGCCCATCCTTTATAATAAGGAAAGTTTGGGATTTCCCTCTCCGCTCAAGTTGGAAATCAGGCTAGTTCTAATGTAAACAAGATTCAAGAGGGAAGAGAAACCAGTGATCCTTGGAGACAAGCCATCCTGTGACCTTCTGTTCTGACCTAACCCAGCCAAAAGACAACACAAGGGAAGATCTGCTCTAGCTCGCATTTCCCAGATTCCTGGCACCCTAAATTATTTGTTAGAGGCAGAATTCTGGGAACAGCGTTCAGTGCAACCCAGCAAACACTCTTGGTTCTTCCCCTAAGAAGCAGCAGCAGGCAGTGATGGCACCAGGACCTCTCACCCATGTGTTGGAGGGAGGGGGGAGAGATGCTCCTCCCTTTTCCAAGGGACAGGCTGAAGCTCAGAAGGGATGGAGGAATGAAAGAAGAGGATTCAGCTGCCTGCTGAATCCTGACTGCTCCTCAGCTCACCTTACGTACTTCCCATAGAGGAGTGAGAAGAAGCAGAGTTTGACCATGTTCCAGGAGGTGCTGTTGTCGTATCTCATCAAGTTTAAGGCCAGAGCCACGTGAGAATGGCAGTTATCACAGCAAAGGTTGTGCTGGAACAGAGAAAGAAGCACAGCGTTAGAAACACCGTCCTTGAGGCTCCCCACTCCCACACACTGCACAGGTCCCACCCCTACAAGGGCCACAGAGAGGGGAGAAACCCACACACAGAGCTGTACCATTCGGTGTTTGTACTCCTCCGAGGCGTCGTGCACAGCTGTGTCCCATGCGTTGGGGCTGCTGGAGTACACTTTGCCAGGATCCAGCTTCCAGTACCTGGAAAGACAAGAACAGATCAGATCCCTTTGCTGCTGCTCCTTCACAACAGGTTTACAAAGGCCAGGAGTCTCTCCTCCACCCCCATAAAACAGTAATGAGATGCAAGCGATGGCACTTCATCAGCACAGCACAGGCACCACTTGGAACACCTGTTGCTATCACAATCTTTGAGTGTTTCAGCACTTACTTCACTGGCTTCCCAAACGCCATGTTGTCTTCCTGCAAAAAAGGGAAAAGGGTTTATGAGGACAATTGCTGTGAAGCATTCGTGGCTGAACACCCCCCATCACTCAGCCACGGAAAAGCCACATTGCCCCAACAATTTCAGGATGCCAACAGGCAATTGCAAAAGGATTTAGGCCCAAAATTCACATGAAGAGCACAGACTATGAGATTCTTTCCTCCTGCCCACAAACCAAACCAGCCTCCGTTTGTCAAATCCTCCTGCACTGGACCAACGATCCACAGAGTAATGGCAAAGATGAGAGACATCCAACACCACTGCTCTGCAGAACCACGTGCTGCAGGACACAGGGGGTGGCTCAAAGCTCACTGAGATGCAGACCAAGCCCAGATTTTGGCTTATGCACCAAGAGCCATCTGGTACTTACTGAGACAAAATACGGCCCTGCGAAGTCCCGAATGACTCCTGTCGACGTGCAGATACCCATATGGCCAATGATGGGGAAGAGCCACCTGCAGAGGGAATGGGTGAAGCGTCAGGTTGAGATATGTGCCCCCAAATCACAGCGTTGTGCTGCCAGGAGAATGCTGGAATGGCCACACAACAGACAGCCAGGAGGTGACAGCAGGTGAGCCACTGCCAGGTAGAGATGCAGGAGTGCTACAAACAGGGAGAGCACACAGGGAACAGCTGGAGCTGTGCTGCCCTGACAAGCAGACCCAGGGTTGGCTCTTCTATAGGGCGCTCAGGCTCCATGTTTTACCAGCTCTGTGTTCCCACGTAAAAGGGTCGGATGCAGAAGAAGCAGTCCTGGGATAAATCTGGACTTTTTCCTTTCACAAATGAGGGATAAAAAGGCCATCCTGCCCAGCTGCCCATCCACACTGCAGCCTTTCACTGCAAACCAGGTTTGGGCACCGCAGATAGGAAATGAGGCTCCTGGTGTTTTCCCTCATCCCTAAACACTCCCCTTGTTTCAAAGGCTTCTCCTCACCCCCAGTATTCACAGAGAGCAGCAGGTCTGAATCCCAGCCACCCGTGGTCACGGTGTAACATCACTGTGCTCTCCCACAGCCTGCAGCCTCCCCAGCTCTGCTGACCTCTCCCATTCCTCACCCATTTCCCCACACCAGGCTGTGCCCAGTAACAACCTCAGATGGCAGCACAGCAAGGCTACACAGGAACAGACTCTCAAACCACAGCTCAATTAGAGAGAGCCTAAAGTGACCAAAACGAGGAAACAAACCCCACGTGCTGATAAGCACAGCTGAGATAAACTGCACACATCTCTCATCGATAATGGCACCCCACAGCACGGGGGCAATGCAATGTTTCACCTTCTGCACTTGTACCACTTTGCCCCCTCCTCTGCCTTTCCCTACCTGGCGCAGTGCAAAGCAGGCAGGCATTTCCCAGTCTGCACAGAGCAGCTTCTGTCAGCCAGGAGGAGCACAGTGCTGTCACAGCATTGCCCCCTTCAAAGGCGCAGACTTCGTTCCTCCCTTTTGTTTCCCATTCTCCTCTCAGCGCTGCCTACCTTTCGAGCTTCCCAATCCGAGGATGACAGGAAATGTCAGAGGGAGAAAATTGGAGCAGTTATGCAATCTAAAGAGAGATTTTGCCAAATAACAACGCAGGGATTTCCGCCGCGGAACAAAACCGACAGGAAGATGCCACTGCTTCCCCGGGGAGGGAACCCAAAGGGAAACACGGGGACCCGGCAGCGGGGCAGCACAGCTCCGAGCAGCCGACGGGGGAGGGGAGAAAAGGGGCGAGAAGACGAAAGCGGCGTGAAACCCTCCAGAACTGGAAGCGCCGTTCCCAACCCGCTCCACATCTTCCTCGCGGCCCGCAGCCCGGCCCAGCAGCGCTCCTCATTGGAGGGCGAGGCGGACGGGGAGCAGCCCGGAGCCGCGCGTTGCGGCCTCTCCCGTTCCCGTGTCCCGAGGCCGGCAGAGCGGAGCGCAGCCGTCAGCCCCGCACCGCCAGGAGCCCCCGGCCCTCCCGCCCCGCACGGCGCCCTGCCGCGACCGCAGCCCCGGGCCGGCCTGCCGCTCCCGCCGCCCGGCCCCGCACTCACGTCAGCACGGGGATGGGCGTCCACACCACGCAGTACGGGAAGCGGCCGCGCTCCGCGTCCAGCCCGGCCCCGCCGCCGCCATTGAACTGCTTCATCTTGGCCTCCGCTTCCGCCATCACCTGGGCCCGCCCCCCCCCGGCCGGGCCGTCGTGGTGATGACGTCACTTCCTGGAGACTGCGGCAGCTTCCGGTTGCGGCTGGTAACCAGGAAGTGGGAGAGGCCCGGAGGCCGCGCGGGCGGGCGGGGCTCGGGGAGCGGCGGCGTTAGGAGGCGGGGAGGCCGCTGGGCTTCGCTTCGCGGGCACGGGAAGCGACGGCCGCGTAGGGCCGCGGCGTTTCATCGCCCGCCGTGTGCGGCCGCACGGCCCGCGGCCCCCCGCTGTCCATCCAGCCGTTGTCCGTCCCCTCTGGCTCCCGGGGGAGAGCAGCAGGACGCGAGGGGTGACAGCGTTTACAAACGAAGCGGCAGCTTAGAAAAAAAACAACAATTGCTTTATTAAGAAGTTTAATTCAAACTACAGGAGGAAGCTGAAGAAGGAAGGCGTTCGTTCCGGATTGCCGCCCTCACGACGCAGGGGGGGGCTGGGGATGCTGTGCCTGTGGGGCACGTCCAGGCCCCGCGCTCCTCTTCAGGCCCTTCCCCGCTCCTCCTGAAGCTGCTCCTTTCCTCCTCCGCAGATGCTGAGCTGCAGCTGCGTGGCTCGCAGTCCCAGCTGTGAGCTCAGGCACTGCAGTGCCAGGGGTTGCGAATAAAACTGCCTCATCCCCAGCCAGCACAGTGTTGTATTCCTCCTCCGTGGAGGCACTGCGGAGCTGAGCACGGCGCTCACGCGAGGAGCTGGCTTTTGGTAGCCACACAGCAGCACTGGGAGCAAGCAGAGCCGTGTTGCCAGCAGTCAGAGGAGCTGGCTTTTGGTAGCCACACAGCAGCACTGGGAGCAAGCAGAGCCATGTTGCCAGCAGTCACCGTGAGGTCACGGCCTTCACACAACAGTCCCATTTTTTCTTGTAACCCCTCTCCTTCATCAAGTAATTCTCTCATCGCTACTTCATGCGCTCTGCTTCCCAGCACCTGACTTAGCTCAAAAATTGAGCTGAGCCCAGCCTTTCACATTCGTCAGCACATTCTCCCCAAGAGCAGCACTCCGGGGACAGAACAGTGCTTACGTGCTCACACCATTTTAGCCTAGTGAAGCTTTCAGTGTGAAAGCCCAAGAGCTCAGGCTCCTCTACCCCTGGGAGAAGCACATCAGTGGGGACACCATTCTGGATCTGCTGCTCCAGCAGCAGAAAGCATTGGCTAACAGGCTGCTTTAGAGGTGGCCTTCCTGCCCTCCATGCACACTGATGTCACACGAGTACTCAGGCTTCAGCTCAACTAGCTCAATGGTGCACTGCAATCAATTTTCTCACCTCTACCAAGCCCTCAGGAGATCATCTACCATTAGTTCACAGCCTAGACCCCATTCTGGAACAGACCTTCCCAGAAGGGAAGGCTTCAGCAGAGCCACCCACCCCAGTGCTTGCAGGGAACAGCTCAAGTCGAGCTGCAGTGCAGCACTGGCTCAGCACGACCTGTCACTGCATCAGAGCTGATCAAGAGCCCGAGCCCGTGCTCATAATCTCACAGTGAAGGGATTCACAAAACAGTGCAGGTCCAAAAGAGAGAAAGCAAAGGAAAAACAGACACTCCAGAGAGCAAAGCCATGCCTAATGCTTTGGTTTCTGAAAGACGCTTCTTATTTTGGCACTTCGGATAGAAGATACACAGAGGTTCTGTGTGTTCCAGTGAACACCTTTTGTTCTACAAAGAAAAATATTTGCATTGATCTGCTCCAAGCTAACGTAAGTACCAGAGATTGTTGAAAGCCATGAACTGGGCCCAACATTTACATCAGCTCACACGGTCCTGGCACGTCTGTCAGGTTAGACAATGGATTTGCTCTTCCTGCTCGTGGCTCGCAGGCTGCTAAGCAGCTATCACCAGGGACCAGTTCTCTTGGCAAAGCCACACAGGAGGGACAGCACTGACAGCCTCCACGGGACACGTATCCTCACAGTGCTGCTGCACACCTTCCCTCCCAGGCAGGGGCCATCTCAGGCAGCTCAGTTTATTGCCTCTTAAACCAAATGCAGGAAGGCAAATCCAACTGCTGGAGCACAGAACAGCATTTTCCCCAGGCTGGATTTGAAGAAAAAAAAAGAAAAAAAATAAAATCAATACATCACTCCTGTACTGCACAGCTTTCTTTGTGTTCATCAGGCTAGCAGAAGGGCTCTCCATCCCCAGCACTGCACTGGCAGAAAATGGGTGAGCAGTAGCTGACAGCAGGGTCTTCCTAGTGACAACTGGAAAGCTGCTGCTGTTGTTCTGCTATTGATCTAAGCAGAATACAAAACACCTGAAGTCAGCAGGGAAAAATAGCTGCAGTTGGAAAAGAAACTGTAGGGGGGTGGGGAGCAGGGGTAGAGCAGGTAAGAAGTTTTCCATGCATAAAATTAACAGCCAGGCATTTTATTGCAGCTATCTTGCCCAGCTACAATAGTGGATTAACACAGGGAGCAGGAACACTGCCACCATTGTTTCTGCAGTCTCTCATTTGATGAGAAACAAAAGGTTTCGCTCCCATTTCTGCCAGCAATTTGCCACCAGTGGCTCCTCTCCTGTTGTCAGCAAGGAAGCAGCTCTACCTCCTGTGGGCCCAAGATGTCCTCACGACAGCAATCTTTGCCTGCTTACTGCAGGCACCAGCGTGACATCCGCACCCTGGAGACACAGAGCATCCCTGAGAGCGTGGGAAGGAGGAGCTCAGACCCCACACCACCCTAGGCTTACCCCAGTGCATGCCATCATTGCTGCAGCTCAGCCCTGGGTTACCTCCCCTTTCTACCCTGGCTCATCTCTGAGCCTGAGAGAAGCAGGCACCCAGCCAGCTCTCGTTCAGCAAGCAGCTTCCTTGGGAACCTTCCCTGTTGTGACAGCTCAAACATTGCAGGGACTGCCAGGACCAAACCACTCAAGGAAGAGATCCCCTCCCCCTTCTGACATTGACAACCACAGCAGCAGCAGGCAACACGGCGTGCAGGAGCCTATTTAAAATGTCACCCAGACACAGGCTGATGGAGGACACCAAGGCGTCCTTCCCCCGCCCTGGAGGTGATGCTGGGGTGGGTTGCTTGGTGTTTTTGTTGTTCCTGTCCTGTGGTCTGCGCCTGCTGCAGTTTGACAGTCTCTAATCACTCAGCGTGAACCAGAAATGTCACTCTCATCTGTATTGATGATGGTGCTACTCACCAGCACAAGAACATACACAGCTTCAGCCACCCACCCCAAAAGCATGCCTCTAAGCCATCTCACCCCTCAGCTTTAACCTTCGGGTCTTTTCTGCCTCCCTGTCACTTGAAAGCTGCATTTTCCTCCTCCCTCCCAGAGGCAGCCAGTCTACAGGGCAACTTTTATGTTTAAAGGGAAAGCCAGCAGCTTCTCAGGGACACAGGGTGGAAGAGCTCTAAGAGCCAAGTACAGGTCACAATGATTTCTCAGCTGTGAAATCACAAAAAAAAAAACCACCTCACCTTTCCTCCTCACCTTCCCTAGAGGGGTTGCCCATCAGCCTCATCTCTGCAGCAACAAGGCCTGAACAAGGCACAAGGAGCACAACATGCAGAGGACTTAATTCCCCACCGTGGCAGCAGGCAGTTCTCTGACATCCTGCTCCCATTTTGCTCAGAGACAAGAGCCATCTTGAGCCCTTTGCAGACTTGTTCCTGGCACTGCAAACAGTTACAACAGAACAGTGAGCTCATCGACACGGCCGTTGTTCCACTCCCCCTCCAACCCAATCTTCTTACTCGAGTTACAAATGAAACCCATTTTCTAGGTCCTTCTTGCCATTTCCACCCACAATTCAACCACACGGCTTCCCCTTCCATGCTTCCTCTTTGTCCAACCATTCAGGCCAAGAGCTGACCTAATTAGCTGATTGCCAATTCCAGCTGTGGATGCACACTGCTTTGTTAGAGCAGAGCCATCTTTTAAAGTCATAATTTTTATCAGACAGGATTTGAAATGAAGAGACCTGAAAAGGCCTTCAGCTGAAAGGTGTCTAACAGGAATTTCTGAGAGAAGAGTTCAAATGGATTCTGAAAATAGCAGACTGGCTTTCTAGCTCAAGGCCCAGCACTATGCTTGGAGGGCAGGGAAGTGTTTGGGAGGCTCTGCAGCAGGGGCTGAGTGCCAGATGCTTTAAAGCTTATTGCTTAAATGCTCCAGAGAGCAGCACTGCTGCACAGAGCTGTGGGTACCCCATCCCTGGAGATGCTCAGGGCCACGGATGGGACCCAGGGCAGCCCGACCTGGTGCTTGATGCAGCAGTCAGCAGCCCTGCCTGCAGCAGGGGGTTGGAACTGGATGGCCTGCAAGGTCCCTTCCCAACCCAACCATGCTGTGATTTTATTAATTTTATCCTCTACCCTGAAATGATTCCGAGAAAACAACTCCATTACACGACCATTAGTCTTTCTGTAAGACGTGTGCATCACTTTTTCTTCCCTAGCACATTCCAGGCAGCCCCTCTCACCCTCACCCCAACATTCACACCTTTAGTTCTAAACCACACCAGAGAGAGACTCTGCTCCCAGCACAGCACTGGCTCTCACTGCACGGTCTCAAGTCCCCACACCTGGCTGAGCTAACACCACACATCACACAGCAGCTACCCGCATTTCAGGCTCCCCAGCCCCCCCTTCCCAAATGAGTTTGCAGGGAGTTTTATCCTCCACCAGAACAGACAGGATCCAGCCCAACCAGGCCACCCTCCGCCCACCCCTGTCCACCTCCACAGAGCAGAAAGGTGGAACAAAGCCAGAACAAACCCCCCCCCCCCCAACAAAATGACACCAAGAAAGAACTAGAACAAAGAACTGTTTAATTGCTTAACCCTTTCTCTTCCAGGGACCAGAGAAACAAGTTTTCTGCTCCTAACGAGGGCAGTAAGGCTTGTGTGTTACCTCTACAACTGCAGGGGCAAAGTTTACGAGATGATCATCTTTAGTACTCGAAAAGGCTACAAATAATGGTCATTGCAACACTAAGAGAATCCTAGAGTCTCCTTACAGAGAGTCCATTGCTAGAATACAAAAATAAAGGAGGCAT